TCGGCCAGTGGGGCTCAGGCCACGCCGCTGGGGATGGGGATCGGTTGAATGAGACTCACCTCTGGCTAGAGACCTCTTAGATGGGGTCGGAATAGATGGGGTCGGAGGATCGCGCCGAATCGCCGATACATCGGCGATGCATCGGCGACGCATCGACGATGCATCGTCGATGCATCGCTGATGCACCGGATATGCATCGTCGACGTGGGCGATGCATCGGCGCCGTCGACGTGAAGAAAATCGGACTCCACATCGAGCCGCATCGCCGAGGCATCGGCGATGCGGCGCGATCCTCCGACACCATCTACTCGGACCCTATCTGGGAAGCCCAGATTGGCCGCCCCCGAGATCCTGGCGCTGTACTATTTTCACGCCTGGCGCCTTCGCTCGTTTCCTTGGGGGCTGGGAGCCTCGCGGATCGATCCGGCTCGAACATCGGCTACGCGCAGGAGCGAGCCTGGGCAAGAGTGACGTCTGGTGCGCGGCTGGGGCAACCACAAGCGCGCAAGACGCCACGTGGCATCGCGTTTCGGCCATCGGGGGACCCCCAGTGGGGCCCGCGCCAAAGGTCACTTTGGCGAAGGGCCACTCTTCTTGCGTGCAGCTGAGAAAAAGGACACAGAAAGATCGGGTCCAGAGCTCCGGCCGTGCTTTTTCACGATTCTGCAGTGCTCGTCGCAGTCGTGCCATCTGGAAGAGTGGCATATTAAAAATCCTAGCCGTGGTTACGGACAAAGGCTGCGCCGCGGGAGCACGCGAGCGAACTGGACACCGCCGAAATGCGGCGCGATCGCAGCGGACGCTCTCGGGCGGGCCGCCGCTCATTCTCACCAGGGCCCGAAGAACCCGTTGGCGTTCGCGAGCACCGACCCGAAGAAGAGGATGGTGATCGAGATCACGTAGTTGTTCCCGCCCACATCTCCCAAGCTGAATCCCGCGGGCGGCGGAGGGGTGGTCGTCACTGGCTCTCCTGGACCAGGACACGAACGACACCATCCCACCTACGGCCCCACGGGGCTCAGCGTATACCAGGAGATCAGGGCTCTTGCGTGGCATGCGCTACGGCACCCGCTGGGCCGTAGCGCAACATGGAGGGCCGCAGGTGGGTGGCGTCTTTCGTTTCGTGGCCGATCTCCGCCGAAGAACTGCACCTCCACCGAGGGGGCGCGCTGGCCCGCGCGGAGCCCCGCGGAGGAGGCGCCGACGAAGGACAGCGCGAGGGAGCCCAGCAGCATGGCGGCGGCGGCCGCGACAGCGCAGGCCAGCAGCAGGGACGCGGAGCGGGCCATCGCGGGCCTGCCAGGGGTCTCGGGCGGGGGCGTGCGGGCGGTGCGGGCGGTGCCGCGAGGAGTGCTCGGCGCGGAGCGGCTTGAACCAAGGTGGCTACCGGCGTCGCTGCCCCAATCCGCAAGGCGCAGCCCGTAGCGTGTTGGCACGGAGCTCAGCACGTGACCTGAACACGCAGGTCTGGCGCGAGGTGTTCGCCAAAACGTGGGCCAACACATGCCGAGCCAACACGCAGCGTGCGAACACGGACGTGTTGAACACGGCACGTGCTGCGTTTCAACACGGGCGTATCAGGTCAGCTGAGGCTACGAGATGGGCTCTCTCATTCTGGGTGTGGTGTGGTGCGGCTGGGCGTGCCTGCGCGCGTGTGGGCGCACGTCGGTGTGCGCGCGGCCTAGTGCGGGCGTGTCCGCGTGTTCCCGTGTGTGTACATGGCACGTGTGTGTGCGCGTGTGTGTGTGTGTGTGTGTATGAATGTGTGTGTGTGTGTGTGTGTGTGTGTGTGCGTGTGTGTATGTGTGTAAGTGTGTGTAAGTGTGTTTTTATGTGTGTGTGTGTGTCTGTGCACGGTGCCCCCGTTTAGTTCGTCTCTTCCGCCAGCGCAGACGACCCCTGCCTAGCCGCCGACGGAACAGTGTGTGTGTGTGTCTGTATCTGCGTGTGAGCACTCACTCTTTGCCGACCTGGCGCAAAGCGAGGGCGGTCGAGGTCTAGCAAGGCGTGTGCGCCGACTCCACGACGCACTGACCTGGAGTTCTTCGGGTACCGAGCTGCTTCGTGGCGGGCCGCTGCGCTCGCTTCCTCTCCCCACACGCGTCCCGTCCCCCGCCTGTGTTCCGATATGCCGCTCGCTGGCTTGCTTTCGCAAGACACACAGCTGCTCGGTCTCGAGCTCCCTCGAAGGGCTGAGCGGTCGGATGCTGCTGCTTCAGGCACGGGCGTTGCTCCAGACCGCACGCCAACTTGCCGAATGGAGCATGCGCGACAACTTGCCCAGCTCGCCGCCGCCACGATGCATATGTCGTTTGCCATCGACGGGTCGCGACTCCACTCCGTCACTCACCATTCCGCCCTCGGGCTTAGGGCACAGCGTCCTGCTTGCCGTCTTCAGTTTCAAGGCTTTCGTTGCTCTTCGCCCTGTGCTGTATGATACCGCAGGTCATAGTCGGAGTAACGCTCGCAGCACGGTTGCCCATCATTGAGAATGTGTGTT